GTGGACCAACGTAGTGGGGGTACATTTTCCCATGAGACTGGGTTGATGCATCCATTTGCAGACATGTGGGATGTAGGACGTGCTTGTAATACGCAATAATTTGGGTTTTTCCATCTTATGTGTGTAAGCTAAAATCAGGCGGGTGGTAAGAGGTTAAATAATTTGATATGTACTACCATAAAAACCAAAATCAAACATTTGTCCTGGTTTGTGTCCTCAGTGCCCGGACTGCCAGAGGCCACCATCACTGTGACTCAGCAAAAAGTCAAGGAAGTGATGAGCCTTGAAGATGAAACCTTCTCCAAGTTCTACCGTCATGTGGAGGAACTCCCCACCAACGGCAACAAGGTGGAGATAGACGACGACTTCGACGCCATTTTTGACCCCGAGGTGCCAAAGTAAGCCTCGACCTTCAGACGGCAAAGATGAGAAGAAACACAGAGAAAGAGCCGCCAGTCCGAGACGCTCTGACCTCATATCTCTGCTCTTCCAGATTGATTTCAGTCATGGTCCAACACAAGAGGGCGGTGCGGCCGAACCGCAACGTTCAGTCCTCCAGGAACCCGCTGAAAAAGCTGGCTGCCAGAGAGGATATCAGGCACGAGTACACGGAGCAGAGGCTCAACATCGGCCTGCTGGAGAGCAAAAGGATGAAGGTGGAGAAGAGTAAGGAAAGATGAATCATGGCTTACTGGGAGATGGAAACAAAACTTCCCTTTTATAATCTGATTTATTCTAATTCTAGTCAGCATGCTCCCCTTGTCTGGACTATAATGCAGTGTTGTATAGTAACGAAGTAAAAATACTTCGCTACTGTACTTAAGTATATTTTGGAGTACTTTATACTTTCCAAGAGTATACGTTTTTTAGAGAACTTTCACTTTTACTTCACTACATTTACGAACTTAATTGCATACTTTTACTCCGATACATTTTCAATGTTTGGTTTAGTTACTAAGTAAATAAAAAAAACGAGCGAGAGAAACTCCAGTGTTTTGACCCCGCCTACTGACTACAAAGTCGGGTCTTGCCTGGGCTCGTTCATCAACACCAATAGGATGCGTCTATTTCGCAAAGCCAGTCTAAATTCATCCTACACTCGGTTGTTTATATTATTTTAAGGTAATTTAACCTTCAAAGTTTACCAAAATGTAAAAAAATGTCATTCTAACTGCACTTACTTTTTACTTATACTTTTTACTATATTACTTGAGTACATCTATTTTTACAGTAATTTTTATACTTAAGTACAAGCCATTTCAGTTACTTTAATACTTTTACTCAAGTAGCATCTCAGTCAGTGACTTGGACTTTTACCAAAGTCATATTTTGGAGAGGTACTCTGAGATTTTAGTACTTTATACAACACTGCCATATTGTATCACAAGTTAATCAGAAGCTAATGCTTAGACAGGAATTACCCTACTAATATAATCACTCCAATTGATTTTATTACCTTCATTCATTAAGCAAAACTATATTTCTATTAACTGTGATTAGGGATGGTAACGTTAAAGATTTATCAATGCGGCTACTCTTAACAATACTCCTCATCGATTCAATATTTTATTATTTTATCTTGAATTTTTTCATTCATCAGTCATTTTTTTAAATAAAAAGGCTCTACTATCTTTAAATACCAATTGTGATATACTCTGCAAAAAATAATATAAAGATAAATCAATTCTTCTTGAATATGTGTGCACTGCAAAAACTCTAAATCTAGATGGGTCATTTTTTTCTTAAAATAAGTGCATTTGTTCTTGAATTGAGGAGGTAAAAGAGCCATTTTGCCAATGGAACAATAAAATTTACACTTAAAATAAGAAAACACAATTGCATTGTCTTATTTCAAGTGCATTTTATCTATTTGTTATTTCAAGAGTAAAAATACTCATTCCATTGGCAAACTGTCTCATTTAACTACTCAAATTAAGGGTGAATACACTTAATGTAAGACATTTTTACTTATTTCTAGATCGTTTTTGCAGTGTATTTTCCCTTGTTAATGGATTTAGATGATTTACACCTAAAATAAGAAAAGGACAACTCTGTTATCTTATTTTAAGGACAAAAACACTCATTCCATTGGCAGATTGTTAACCTGCTCAAATTCTGTGGAAATATGCAGATTTAAAAATTTTTTTGCATGTTATTAGATCAGTTTTAACAGTATATAATTGTAGGAGAGAGATTAATACGCTGCGGAAATGATCCATATAACCAAGTCTTACATTCTACCCAAAAAAGTTATTTAGATTTTGTTTTCTGATCGATATACGAAGAGCAGATTGGTTGGATTATTAATCTTTTGAGAAAATTTACTCAAGTGCAACAATCTGGCAGTAAAGGAAGACTTCTGGAAATTAAGATATATTTATTCAAAACAAATTTGGCTCTTATTTTCACTTATTTTCTTCAGGAAAGGCAGGTAATGGTAGTTATGGAAACATTCAGGTGAATAAAAATGTTGAGCCAAATAAAAATGGTAAAATAGATCCAACTTCTTTAGGAATAGTTATCTTAAGTATTACAACAGTAAGCGTATAAATTTTATGGTCTCTGATTTTCATCCTTATTGGAATACAAGTGTTTTTCTCTGGGGAAGAAAAAAAAAAAAGTTAATTTCTTTA